AAAATGCCCGCAACATGATGGACTTTGTCCGCAAAAAGACTAGCCTGAAGGATATTTATGAAAAGAGCAAAGAGGATGCAACTGATACTACTACTACAAATGATACCACTACTACTACTACTACTACCGAGACAAGGAATACGGAGAATGAAAGTAATGCTGTTGCTGCTGCTGCTGCTGCTACCAGCAAGGAGAAAGCACCAAACGCAGGAGCAACCACATGGTATCCACACCGCACGGCCATGCTTGCCAATGGTGCTGCCATGATTCATTGTCCAAGGACCAACAATTACAGAGGCACAGGTGCTCTGGCTACCATTGCGGCAACTACGATGGCGAATACTGTCTTGCCATCACCAGAATTTTTACCAGCCCTCAACAATCGGAACAAGAAGCGAACAAGGATGGAAGCCGATGCTGCATTTAAAAAGAAACAGGAAGAAGAAGAAAAAGCGCATCGAAATGCAAGACTACCAGCAGCAAACTCGCTTTGTCATCCAGACACAACACCTCTTAGGATTCCTACTGCAACTGCTAAAATTGCTGCTACTTCCATGTGGCAAGAGCTTGATCCCAAGAAGAAGCTTGACGATGATGTTGATGATGATGATGATGATGATTCTAAACCACCACCATCAGACTCTGACAAGATGAATACTACCCCTGCTGCGGATGTCATGCTGAAACCTACTGCTCCTGCTCCTACTACTACTACTTTGAATAGTAGCAGTAGTTACAAGGCGCCACCGTCACCCAAGAAAAATGACGAGAAGGAAGCAACGCTTGCCTTGTTGTCGTGGAGACAACACCAAACATAACACTACTAGAGTAACATGATTATTATCATCATTATATATAAAACAGAAGCATGGGATATATATATATAAACCGGTATGAGATGTTGAAAAGCTTATTGATGCACTCTTGTGGAGAGTGAACTCTCGCTACATACGGTACAATTAAACTACCGGTAATAGATATCGTATCGGTATTTCTTGAACTTGACTAATAATTTCTAATTTGAATGCGCCAATTTGGTTTGTGGTACGAACTCTACGACATCTACGGTGTGAGAGTACAGACATAGCTTCCTGTACCACATCGAATAATACTATAAAAGAAAAAACAAAAATCAAAATACCATAATAACATCAACACTCTATAACAATAGCATTATGACAGCAACAACGAATAATACAACAACTAAGACCAAAACCATTACTGTAATAAACGATGGCGGTATTTATGACATTAGCAGCAAAGAAGAATTCAAAGATTTGCTGTCGTCCTTGAAAACAAACTATTTGGAACATGTCGACACGAAACGTCGAGTGCTTGGCTTTTTGTCCGTTGTGGACGGTGGAACTTATACGTTCTCTTCTTCCCATTACACTGCTAGCATCATTACTCCAAAGAGAGCAGCTGACAAGACAGATGACGTATCAATGCAGCAAGAATCAGCAGCAGCATCAGCATTAGCGTCATCCTCACGAGATTTGCCTTCCCCACAAAAGCTGAGATTGGACGAAAGCAATAACCCTGAAAGCGGCACCAATGAGGAATCCGAAGATGACAAAAGCATTCGCACTGATGGTGACGAAGATAATATTCGGTCGAAGGTAGTAGCTCCTGAATCCTCTTCTGCTACCGTTAGCCATATGGAGCGTCAACAAGATGAGTCTCATCAATCCCCGCCGCAAGCTCAACCACAGCCAATCATGTCTGACAAACATCAAAATAAGACGACTGGCAATGCTCAACAAGACAACATGATCATTCACACCAATGGTGACGACAATATTAGGGAATATTCGCTAGGTCATGACACTCAAAAGGCCAAGGATCCATCATCTCAAGGAGTCCTAGAACCAACTAACAGGGATTGTGAGAATAATAATGGGGACAGTAAAAACGCAAGCAATGAAACCGAACAAAAACAATCTCCTTTTTACATTCAACTTCCCACGCTAGATACAGTGGTAAAGAATCACCAGAAGCAGCAAGGCGACAACATTGATGATAAGAAAGTGCTGGTTGAGAAAACCAATGATGCTGCACTTTTGATGGCGCTCCGAAACGACGATTGTTTCATTAACAACAATCACCATCAAGGGGATGAAAATAGCCAGTCTCCCAACAATCGACGACAGAACAACGGGAATCAAACAGAAAACAACAGCAGTGGTGATTTCACCGAGAAGGATGACGATGATAGTATTGCAAATGACCAAGCAACAGCAGCAGCAGCAGTACGCTCGCCGAACCATAAGCGACCGCGGAATGTTGTCACTCCCAAGGAATCATTAGCATCACCATGCCTTGCACGGAAAACGGAGGAAGGCTCCTTCTTTTCTAGCAGCCGAACCCAAGCTGACAATGACGAATGCTTCTCGTCTCCGCCGCCAAAGCAAAAGCGATTGAAATTGGATCCAAACAAAGAAGAGGACGACGAGTGTGGAGCATCATTGTCGCCAGCGTCATCTCGATCATTAGCATCAACAGTATCATCGTCATCGTCGTCGTCATTGTCAAATGTGCCACCCACCAAGCCGCAAAAGACGACGCAAACTCCTACTCTCAAGAAGACCTTTACACTCACCGAGTATTTGGTGGAAGCCAAAGCGCTTTTGGACAAGCACAAGTATCGACAGG